GTATAGAGAGTGGGCTGTAGTCCACGAAAGCTTATGCTCTAATAAATTTATCCGAAGAAGTGGGCTGTAGTCCACGAAAGCTTATGCTCTAATAAATTTGTTAGTCTCGAAGGTGCCACAGGTACTCCTGTTCTTCTTTTTAATAAAAGGTCAGCCACAATGAACTACCAATCTTGGTAATCAGACACAACAGGTAGAGAAGATAAACAAATAGGGAGGAAGGGTGAGGGGAAGATGAGGTAACAGTGAAACAAGCAAGAAGTTATCCACAATAAGCAGCAGTCTCATCGCACCACCTGCCTACTCACTGGTAGCTGGTCATAGGTTGACAGCAGGGGAGAGTTTTAAGGAGGAGGAAATAGATCTGGGTTCACCTTAGGCCCATCTCTCTCCACTAATAACTCATCCAAGCATGGTTTGATGCTACCTACTGACACATGAACATCCTGAACTTTTCCAGATCATTGTGAGTGAAGAACACCCCAACAAAATGGAAATGCCTGATAATTAGCATAATAAACTGTGCTCCTAGCTGTACCAGTCCAGAACAGGATGTGAGAAATAAGCAAATGCTGCATTTGCTGCATTTCCTGGTTTGCTCCTGTGGTTACAGCTGCAGAAAGATTACTACCTCTTGTGATGCTATTCACATTTGCTCTGCAGGCCTGAGTTTGATCTGTAGAAAATGGAGTAGGAAGCCAGTTCTGGATGGCACAAGGTAGTCACAGGAGTGTTGAAGACCATCACAATCATCATTACAGGGTTAAACTCAAACCTTATTTGCCAGAGGTGTGGCTGTGGAAACCTCACATAGTCAGGCAGGATTTTATTGTTATTTACACGCTGACATAGGGCACATGATGCCTTCCACACAAAAAAAGGAGACCAAAGGGCAAATCTGGATTTCATTTACACCTGTGTAAATCTGCAGTCACTGCATTAAAGGTAGTGTTCACCAGGGTAGCACGTAGTAGCACGAGGGCCCAATCATGCTCTTACTGAAGTCAGTGGGAACTTTCCTATTGACTGAAATGGGAGTAGAATTGGGTGCAAAGGGGCCACTTCTGCAACCCCCTTATTCACATAAGTAATCCCACAAGCACAGGTTTGCAGGATTGGGACCTTTATCAAGACTTCACAAGGAAGGTTCTGAATATTGGTGGGAAGAGAGAAGGGTTACAGCAATGCGAGTATATAGTGGCTTTGGTTATCAATGCGCATAGCTTACATTCCCTGAACTATACAAAAATAAGAAACCAAGTTAAATGGAAGTTAAAAGAAACAGTCACAAGGGTGAAATGCCTGCAAATTGCATTGAGACTATTTAAAAACACCATATCAGAGGTTCAAACTAAATCCATACCCCACAATTAAAAACAAACAAAACAGTAAGAAGACCAAAAGATGCAGAGTGAAAGAGGCAGTTAAAGGCAAAAAAGCATCCTTTAAAAATTGGAAATCAAATCCTACTGAGGAAAATATAAGGAGCATAAATTCAGGCAAGTCAAGTGTAAAAGTGTAATAAAGCAGGCCAAGAAAGAATTTGAAGAGCATCTATCTAAGGACACAAAAAGTAACAGCAAAATGTTTTTAAAGTACATCAGAAGCAGGAAGCCTGCCAAACAGTTAGCAGGGCTACTGGGGGGAAAAGGTGCTAAAGGAGCACTCCAGGAAGACAAAGCCATTGCTGAGAAGCTAAATGAATTATTTGCATCAGTCTTCATTGCAGAGGATATGGGGGAGATTCCCACACCTGAGCCATTCTTTTTAGGTGACAAATCTGAGGAAATGTCCCAGATTGAGATGTCAGTAGAGGAGGTTTTGGAATGAATTGGTAAATTAAACAGTAATACATCACCAGGACCAGATGGTATTCACCCAAGAGTTCTAAAGGAACTAGGGTGACCAGACAGCAAATGTGAAAAATCAGGACGGGGGTGGGGGTAATAGGAGCTTATATAAAAAAAAAGATCCAAAAATCGGGACTGTCCGTATAAAATCGGAACATCTGGTCACCCTAAAAGGAACTCAAATATTAAATTGCAGAACAACTAACTGGTATGTAACCTATCATTTAAATCAGCCTCTGTACCAGATGACTGGAGGGTAGCTAATGTAATGCCTATTTTTAAAAAAGATTCCAGAGGAGATCCTGACAATTAGAGGCCAGTAAGCCTAACTTCTGTACTATAGTAAAAAACAGAATTATCAGACACATAGATAAACACAATATGCTGGGAGAAAGTCCACATGGCTTTTACAAAGGGAAATCATGCCTCACCAATCTATTAGAATTCTTTGAGGAGGTCGATAAGTATGTGGACAAGGCTGATCCAGTGGATATAGTCTTGGACTTTCAGAAAGCCTTGACAAAAATCCCTCACCAAAGGCTCTTAAGCAAACTAAGCAATCATGGGATAAGAGAAAAGATCCTCCAATGGATCAGTAACTGGTTAAAAGATAGAAAACAAAGGGTAGGAAGAAATGGTCAGTTTTCACCATGAAGAGAAGTTATTTACCCCTTCTCATGACACAAGGACCAGGGGTTACTCAATGAACTTAATAGACAGCAGGTTTAAAACAAACAAAAGGAAGTACTTCATATAACACACAGTCAACTTGTGGAACTCATTGCCAGGGGATATTGTGAAGGCCAAAAGTATAACTGGGTTCAAAAAAGAACTAGATAAGTTCATGGAGGTTAGGTCCATCAACGGCTATTAGCCAAAATGGTCAGGGATGTGACCCCATGCTCCGGGTGTTCCTAAACCTCCAACTGCCAGAAGCTGGGACTGGATAACAGGGGATGGATCACTCAAAGTTACCCTGTTCCATTCATTGCCTGTGAAGCATCTGAAGATGGGTCAAGAGCTATGTTATTAACTGTAGTGCTACTTGCAATTTTTCTAAAAGCCCCAGCTCCTGGAGTCAAGTCATTAGGTGAGAATCTCAGCTTGCATTTTTTTAAAGTAAGTTTCTAGCTGTGGGGGTTGCAGCAAGAAGTTGAACACACATATCTGGACCCCTGACCCAGAAAGATGGGATTGCGTGATTTACAAGGGAAAGACAAAAAGGATCAAAATCCAGAAAGCAAATAAAAACCACCCAACATTTCTTAGTTTAAAAAAAATCTCAGTTTTAAAGCCAGTCTTGTGCTGTTGGGTATGTTCACACTGGAATAAAAGGCTCGACGCACGGCCACGGCTGGCCCAGATTAGCTGACTCAGGCTCAAAGGGTTATGGGCGTAAAAATGTCTGTGTAGACGTTTGGGCGTGGGCTGGAGCCTGCGCTCTGGGACCCTCCTCCCTTGCAGGGTCCCAGAGCTCGGACTCAGGCGGCCTACACAGAAATCTTACAGCCCCGCAGCCCGAGTCAGCCGAGTAAACGTACCAACGAGTTTGGGCGCTAGGGCTGGCAGCGCTGCACCCCCTGGCTGACTCCAGCCATAAAGCTGGCTTGCTTCTCCCAGGAGGATCAGCTCCATGTACGGATGCTCTGCAGTAGCATGGGGCCAACCGAAGGGCTCTGACACCAAACACCCTTCCTGCTGCCAGGGAGTGTGGACAGTGGGTGCAGCTGGGGCGTCCCTGCTCTATGCAGAGCCTCAGCTGTGTGGCTATTGCGGTGTGGGCTAATTTACAGCAACCCCCAGACTGCTCTGAATACAGCATAGGGCCTGGCTCTGCCCAGCCACTGCAGGACCTCGTGCATGCGCTAGGCACAGGTTTGGGGATCCGGCCCCTAGTCTAGCGCTCGGCGTCTACTGCTCATGAAGACTCCATCTATACTGTAGTGGAGCCGCCATAGAGTAGGGTTACCATATTTCAGCAAGAAAAAAAGAGGACGGGA